ACTCGAAAATGCAACGGAAAATACAACAAATTTATCCTTGCTTCAGTACATTTAGTTAAGAATTGTTTTTTTTTATCTTTAAAATATTTTCACGCGAATTTCGGTCTTTAAGTAAGTTTTAACTGTTTCTTACAGGTTTATAATCTGCCAATGCCTTTTTGAATGACGTGTGCTTCACTACCCGGCCTTAAACCCGTAACAGTCTATCTTTCAATCAGTGAATGACATTTAAAAGATTAGTTATGTTAAGATATTTTATGGGAAAATTAGCATTACATGGTTTCCATTTGGATATTCATTTGAATTGCGTAGCGGAATAGGTCAGTTCGCTACACCAGTAACGAAGTTAAACTTGCCATGACGTCAGGGAACTTAAATGGTTTGTGCATATAAAATTGGTTTTATCCGCTTATTATTAACCCCACCCAATTAAAATTCTGTGTCATAAATCCATGAAAAGATCAAATGTTTGCCATATGTGTAGAAATTTGTCTTGGCACTCATCTTATGAAAAGCAGAGACAATATTTGATTCAAGGCTTTGCATATGTAGGGAATTTAAAAATTGTATACATATATCTTTCACGTAAACCTTCTAACATATCAAGAGTGTTTCTTTACCCTTTACTTCATTGCAAAAACAAGCACATGGTTGTCGTACAATGACCGAGTAGTTTTAGCCATGGCTTAAGTGGGAATTTATTTGGCATCAGTGGGTACTAAGCTTTTTCTTTTCAACGCTGGAGATAAAAATCGTGAACTGTGGTTTGGGGACTCTGGTATACTCTGAGGCAATGGATAATGTAGGTTTGTGTAATCTCCAGATAGGACTTAGCTTGCTCGTCCAGGAGTGTACCCAAAATGGCTCCCTAACTTTCAACAGCAGGGAAGATAAGGTAGGCTGGATAACTATACTGATCCTTGTTATCCCACACCTGTCATCACTTCTAATCCTAACTAACTGACTCTAGCTTAGGCTGGATACAACTGCCATCACTTCTCATCCTAACTAACTGACTCTAGCTTAGGCTGGATACAACTGCCATCACTTCTCATCCTAACTAACTGACTCTAGCTTAGGATGGATACAACTGCCATCACTTCTCATCCTAACTAACTGACTCTAGCTTAGGCTGGATACAACTGTCATCACTTCTAATCCTAACTAACTGACTCTAGCTTAAGTTGGATACAACTGTCATCACTTCCCATCCTAACTAATTGACTCTAGCTTAGGCTGGATACAACTGTCATCACTTCTCATTCTAACTAACTGGCTCCAGCTTAGGTTGGATACAACTGCCATCACTTCTAATCCTAACTAACTGACTCTAGCTTAAGTTGGATACAACTGTCATCACTTCTAATCCTAACTAACTGACTCTAGCTTAAGTTGGATACAACTGTCATCACTTCCCATCCTAACTAATTGACTCTAGCTTAGGCTGGATACAACTGTCATCACTTCTCATTCTAACTAACTGGCTCCAGCTTAGGTTGGATACAACTCCCATCACTTCTCATCCTAACTAATTGACTCTAGCTTAGGCTGGATACAGCTACCATCACTTCTCATCCTAACTAACTGACTCTAGCTTAGGTTGGATACAACTGCCATTACTTCTCATTCTAACTAACTGGTTCCAGCTTAGGCTGTATACAACTGCCATCACTTCTCATCGTAGCTAACTGACTCTAGCCTAAGTTGGATACAACTGTCATCACTTCTAATCCTAACTAACTGGCTCCAGCGTAGGCTGGATACAACTGTCATCACTTCTAATCCTAACTAACTGGCTCCAGCGTAGGCTGGATACAACTGTCATCACTTCTAATCCTAACTAACTGGCTCCAGCGTAGGCTGGAGAAAGTCATAGACTTGTATCAGGGTGTCAGATAAAGAGGGTTAGTGAACATCACTTGAGGGGCTGAAAGAGAAGGTGGGTGGGAGATTTTACCCTTTGTACATGTATATCGGTCTAAGTCCTTTAATTTCCTAACAATCATGACTTTCTTAGACATTGTTCTAATGAAGATTATATCGATTTATGGGGTTCTCAAATTAAGTTTGAAATGTTTGTAGCATATTCAGTTAAACTGTATATATGTTTGAGAAGGGTAATCAATAAATTGATATGGTGAAGTGTTGGGGGAAGGGGGATAACATGCCTTTGATTGTTATGTGCTTCAAACTCATTATATATGTGGTTAATCAAAAAAGACATGAAAAAATATACTTGTATATATAAGCCGAAGAAGAATGCAAAGTGATTAAATCAAAAATGACCAATGGATTCTATTTTGATAGTTCTACTCAGTAAAACTGATTTTTAAGCGCCATACTCCATTTTATTCAGTTTAAATTTCATTTGAAGCAGAAATACTGTACATCTATTTCTATCCAGATTGACACATGCATGTACCAGGTGCTATTGTTGTGAACAAGATCCAGATTCTTAGAATGTTATCGTAACTTCTAAGATTTGAAATTACAATTCTGTACAGTCGCGACGATTTTGACGCGGTTGTACACAAAATAAACTGGGGGGGGAGGGGATGAACTTATCAAACAGTATTTAAATGTCTTCAGTGCAAAAAGATCTATTTAACACCTATAATTTTGAATAAAACCTCAAAGGAAAATCTACGTTTACAATATACTATTAAATTCACGTTGTTATTTTGTAAATTACTCTGATAAGACAGCGACAAGGCAAGCAAGTGTAGGCATAGCAACGGTTGCGTCATCGCAGATGCTTTTTTTTCTTTCATTCTCACGTGAATTCCATTGCAAAGACCTGGCAAGTGCTATAGACTATTCTACAGTGGAAGTATTTAAGCCCTTTTTTGTTGTAATTGCTTGTTTCGCTATTCTTTTTATTTAACCTTCACTATATTGTAAGTATAAAAGGCACCTAACTATCATCATACCGCACGACAAAATGACATTATAAAAGTGCAGAGCATTTTACGAACATAATATATCTCTAAAAATTTAAATTTTGAGTTGAATTCTCAATAGATGACCAATTTTTTTCGGGACCAAAACTTTATATACATAGAAAATATTCAAAAGATCAACCTTGACCTTGACCATATATTATACAAATATAGCCCTTTTATGAGGTCAATCCATAGATATATCGACTTCGTGCTCGGTCGATGTGCTTTTCTGTGAAGTCGATATATCTATGAATTGACCAAATGAAAGGGCTATATTTGTTAAATTATTTTTTACAGAATTGACAAAACAAAATTTGAAAATAATGGGAACAAGCCACAGATTTTCTCTCTTGTCTTTTTTTAACACTTAGAGACAGAGATAAAAAATTAATTAAGGTGTTTAATGTAATTGTGTTTCCTTTACACTGATAGAGTGATTTAGGGAATTTACTAATTTAATTTTGCTACATTTGTTTTATTATGTTTTGTATCGATTTTTGAAAACATATCTAATATGTTTTAATATAAAAAGGATCCTATCTCTGCACTTCGTGCTCGGTCGCTATGCTTTTCTGTGAAGTCGATATATCTATGGATCGACCTCATGAAATGGCTATATTTGTATTATATATATATATATATATATATATATATATATATATATATATATATATATATATATATATATTCCCCTTTTTTCTTTTTGTAACCAACCCACCTACCTACCCACCCTAACCCACTATTTTGAACCCATTTTAATAAGTTGATGTTTGTTTTAATAAGCGTACGTAGTTTGAGGAAAGTCTAATTTCAAACCATAGATTCACCATTCTGAGAGTTTTGCATTTGTGAATCTCGGTAGAAAAACACGACAAAACCTTGAAACATTAAAAAATATTACCCTCTCGGACATTCAACCAACACTTGTTCAATATCAGTACAAACTATACCCAAGCCTTCAATTCAACCCGATGTGTTCTTTGATTAAGTTTGACTTAAGAATTAATTTACCTCACATAGACCAAGACGAAAATCCGCTATTTGAGGAAATGTAAACCGAGGAGCTTTAATCGACTGAAAAGAAATCTCGTTTGTATGAATCCTATTAAAGACTTATAATTATTAGCTTATTAACTAGTAAAATAATTTTTTAAAACGTTTATTCCACTGAATATGATACGTCAATTACTCTAAATGTATTATAATAAACAGACCCCCCCCCCCCCCCGAATAACATTTATCAGTAGCCTTTTTAATTTTTAATGTATGATATAATCATATAAAATATCACAAAAAGTGCATGAATGGCTACGTGTGGAAAAGATGTATGATAGTCTTCTGAAATTTGTTAAGAAATCTTTGTAAATGGCAAGTCAAATTGTCATGGACATCTCCTGGCGAATTTAGAGCATTTCTGATAAACATGATATAGATTCCATAAGTAAATATTTCTCAAGAATCATGCTATATATATTTTGATTAAACTGTAATTTCACGCATTATTATGTTGCGTGAATCAATGAAAAGTTGTTAAGTAAAAATCACCAAAAGCAATGAAAATAAAGTTCTATATTGTATTCATAAGAAATTTTTAATTCTTGTCGTGTAAAAAAAATACTGATTTTTTTTTTATATATTTTTTTAAAATTTTTATTTATTTATTTATTTTTGGGCAAAAATAACGAGAAATGTGGCAAACTCTGCGAAACTTCCATATTTCTTTCACTGCAGACATAACAATTCAATTCAATTCAATTTAATTAGTTTATTTACCAATTAAGGGCCCTCATGGGGCAAAAAGAAAGTACACTGTAAATTAACATTTATATAACAATAAATTGCAAGTTTGTCCGTGTAAGCTAAAGAAAGAAATTACTCCAAAAAAAAAGAAAAACTGTTGCATTATCAAGTGTATCAATATCTGAATAACATTAAGTGATGTTTTTAACTGCAGTTAAACAGTCTATACCGCTCTAGCTGTCAGTAAGAATCATCCATCGATTTCCGTACTGTGCGTTTACAGGATTTACTTTCTTGAGTGTAACTCTCCAGTCTTTAAAGGTACAAAAACGTCGTCTTGGGATCTCGAAGCAGATGACAGAGAAGTTTATATGTCTGAAATTTACATGATTAGAGCGATTACTTTTATGTAGAAAGCTGGGATATTGGTGACATCAACAGATAATTTACAAGATTAAACGATAGTTTTGATGATTTTGAGGCGTAAGGAGAATGAAATTAAAGATCCGATAGTGTTCAATGTGATATGGCGTAAGACATGTTTATTAGGAGTCGATATCGTACCTGCCTATAAGCATTTATCTGAGGTGGGGAGAAGGTCAACATGCATTGGATTTGTTTAATACACGGAAAGAGTACATATTTATTACAATTTTTGTGAACTAGTCAAAAAAATCTGCAATGATTTCGCTTTTGAGGATGAAATATAGTTTGCATTATTGATGCACTCGTCTTTTGTCACAATGGGAAATTGTCAGTGCTATCAAAAAGACAAACGGCCAGCTCCTGCATCTCAGTATACTCAGGTTTGTATAGTGTTTCTAAAGAGTTTTCTTTAAGCTTGAATTGGTAACAAAGGGTGTTATGTGTATATTGTCAGGTGTTTGCATGTCTTTCAGTAGCCATTGGTGACCTTCATCCTTGTTGGTCAGTGAATGTATGGACAGTGACATGGTCTTGTCTGACAAGTAATGGTGATATATCTTGATGTAAATCTTGACATATATTGAATATGTACTCATCGTAATGGAAATACTAAAGCCCATTCTGGTATAGCTTGGGGTCAAAAGATCACTTGAACACATATTATTTCATAATGCAGGATATAGTGATGATATGCAACAACATTAATCCACTGAAACTAATTTAAATGTAAACGATTCAGTATGAGAGTTCCTACAAAGTAGATCATTGAAATTGAGAACCCAGTTTGACCTTTTCTTTCACTTTATCAATTTTTTGTCTGATTTGGAAAACTACCAAGTTCTTGGAGTGCATTCACCAGTTATGTGTTTGTATACTGTACAACATGTAACAGATTAGATGTGTGTTTATCAACAGCATTTTGTAGGCATGCAAAATGTTTCTATGTGCTTTTTTAAATGCTGAGTTTTATCTCCTGAATAAGTTTCAATGAATATAATTCATCGAAATGATTTTTTTTTCTATCTTTTTAAATCTTTATTTTGCATTTGTGAGTTGGGTGTAACTGTTTTTGAAAGTGAAAATCAAGAGGTGATAAGGTCACTAAAAATGTCATTTGCATGAACATTCTTAACTGTTGCCAGCAAGTGTTTGAATCTTGAAGCATAGATCAATAGCATTTAAATCTGTCAACCCCAGACTCAATCTGCAACAAACATGTTTACTTATATAAAGTTACATTCTACATTGCAGCTCTTTTTGGATGGGATTTAGACCCAAACTCATACGTCTACCAATTTTATTTTGAGAAAATGAATCTAAGTGAGCTGACAATGTGACCAAATGTATTATTGTATTTAACAGTGAATTTAATCTACATTGATGTTCCTTTTAGCTGGGATTTAGATACAAAACTCTAACTATACCTGTTTTGTTTTGAAAAAATGAGTCTTAGATAGCTGACAATATGACCAAATGTATAAATGTGTTTAACAGTGAATTTAATGGCAATTATTCATGAAACCATGGTTTTAATAAATCACACTTATACATAACAAGATGATCCTTGCAATATATTTGGATTTGATTGATAATTAATCCTCTTTATTCCCTAATAGTGTTTTAATTTTTTTTTAAATTACCTTAGGTTCCTTTGTAAAATTTTAAGCCCCTATTGTTACACAATCCTGACTAATGGGTCATTTTTTGCACATCTATGCTAAGGACTTTTTTCCTTCGTCTTAACAAAATGCAAGATTACCACCCCTTCTATTTTCTCTATGTTAATGTCATTTATCAATTTCTGATGCATTTAATATGTCAGTGAGGTACACATGGATGTGCCTAACCTAAGAATGCTTTGTGACAATTAAGTTCAAATTGGCCCAGTGGTTTTTTGAAAGAAGTCAGAAAGTTTACTGACAGCTGATGCCAGTATAAATGCCCCCACAGATTGATTACTTGATATAACATATGCTTAAACTGTATGTTCATCTAGTTTATGAAGTGTTTAAATGTGTTAATAATGACCTTCCCAATTAGATTTCAAAATTCCTGTTCATAAAACATGTAGTTTCTTGTCACACCCTCCCCCCTCCCCCAATTATGAACCATACCATAGAAAGTGTCCACATCTAATATTTTCAGGGATAAAAAGGCCCCTCCATTTTCTAAGAAGAAAAAAAAACCGAAGACAGATTTCTTTATTCATCTAGCTGAAAAGAATTTATAGTGAAGTGTTAAATGGAAGAAAAACTATATTCTTATGTACATGTATTCTTCACAATTTGTTTTTTTTTATTACAAACAATCCTTTTCAGACACATGATATGGACTCAAAGGCAGAACAAACAATTTCCTCTTTTTGCACATTTTCTTAGTGACCCATAGTGCTATATTGAACTTGAGCATATACATGTTGACAGACTAGTCTGTAGCCTAGTGGTAGGGCACTTGCTTTGTGATCTTGAGGTCCTGGTAAAATTCTAATTCCAGGTGCTGTGTCAAACCCAAAATGCTTTACATAATATAGCTGGGACGAAATATTGAGATATCGATAATATTGATTCTGTGTGAGGATGATTATTAAGGAATATTGATACGTATGGAAAAATATTGAAATATCGCCCAAAAAAATCTGACTTAGGTTTTTCTTTGTTTACTTAACATTTTGGGCTTAATATATAAAATAAAAATGCCAAATATAAGTATTAATATGAGATACATTATAATTAACACTTGTGTAAAATAATTTAACAACAGATAAACAACTTCTTTGAATAAATTATTCTTATTTGTGAGAAAGATTTTGTTCATTTTAATACAAAATAAAGATTTCATCACCAATTCAACATATTGTGATACATATCATATCCTGGCTAAAATATTGTGATACGTATCAATATAGAAAAAGTTGTATCGTCCCAGCCCTATTACATAGTGACTGTTTCTTCACCAAGTGCACAGCATTAGAAGTGAATTAAGTCATGAGTTTTTTGGATATAAGGCATTGGTACTATCAGTATATACATGTAGAACGCTCACTCATGAATGGCCCTGAGTGCCAATTAAAGGTCTAAGTTTGAAGTTCTTCACCAGTATTTTGTGACATCTCATATGAGTGAAAAATTTTGGCAAGGGATGTAAAACAACAACAAAGACTACAGAGATTGGTGTATTGTATTCAGCTATAGTTCTAGTCATCCATTGTTGTAAAGGATGTTAACATAAATTTATTTATATCACAATTATTTTTTGTTGTATTTTTTTTTAAACTACACTGTAGTTAAAGGAAAATAATTAACCATGCTTACTTTTGGGTCTTTTGTTGGATGATAAATATTACAAAAGTTAGAAATCAGAAGAGATGGGGATTCTTTTTTTTTTTTTTTTTTTTTTTTTTTGTATGTTTGAATGGCTCAGGGATGTTGCTAATTTAAGTGAAGGACATTGTTTGCAGATTCTGCATGCTTTTGATTTTTTTTTTTTTTTTTTTTTATAAAATACTAAGTTTTCTTAACTATGCATGTACCACACATCATGTTTTCATTAATGTGCACTGAGGCTAATCATAGATTACACTCTTTCAAAAAATCACAGCACAATTGCTTTATGTTATTCAAGCATGTTATGAAGAGTGATGACAAGTAAATAGAGTTCTGTTGAACTTCACAGTATTACCCAAGGTTCTGCATCCATGGCTGATTTTTAAACCAAGTCTGAGAACAATATGTTAATCCCCAACCCAGTTCAATTTCAATTACCTGGTAATTTTTTTTTTTAATTGGTATGTAAACTTTTCTTTCATATTATTTTTTAACACATTCTTTGCAGGATATAAATTTTGGAATGTGCTGTGCACATGCTTTTCTCTAAAGTAACTAGTATTTTTCAGGTCAGGATTCAACATGCTTAATAGTCCCCTAACAGCAGCTGCTGGAAGAACTATAGTTTTAGAAAGAAATTACATGAATTGCTTAAAATGTTTTATGTCATGATACACAGGTATACAATTTTTTGTGTATTGCAGTAGACCTTTTGACCTTGACCTAATAGTTTGGCCCACTTTTAAAAAACTTTAATCTTGGCCATAACTTTTGAACAGATAGAACTAAGGCTTTCAAATTTCACAGGTATATTCCTTGTAACAAGACTTTGCTTTAAATACCAACAACTTTGACCTTGACGTTCGAGTTTAACCTTCTTTTGAAAAACTTCAACCTTTGCCATTACTTTTGAACAGTTGGTGCTAGGGGTTTTAAATTTTGCATGTGTATTTCTTATGACAAGGTCTTCCACTGCATACCATTAATTTTGACCTTTTTACCTTGACCTTGGAGTTTGACCCACTTTTAGAAGACCTTAACCTTGACCATAACTGTTGAGTGGTGGTGTTTGACTCTTTCATATTTACCAGGTATATCCATTGACACAAGTCCTTTCTTTGGGTAAGAACATTTTTGATTCTCTTTACCTTGACCTTGGAGTTTGACTTGCATTTGAGAAACTTTAACCTTTGCCATAAGCTGTCATACAGGGGCATCAGTGTTTCACAAACACATCTTGTTTTGACTGGTAGGAAAATTACATCTAAATTGTTTTGTTATTTCTTTGTAAGGTGTTAATGTTTAATAAAATTTATATTTACTTAGTGTATTTATAATAAAATTTTAGAATGATAGATATTTCTATTCCATGCATCTTACTGATAAATGGCGGGTTATTTCCTTAGAACAAAACCTATCTCTTTCTTTCATTTCTTGTTTCATCATTCTTCTTCCCTGTCTGTTGGTGTTACTTATTAATGTCAGCATGGTGAACTATTTTAATATGTATAGAAAGGGCTGACATACTTATATGTACAGGCTATCCTGATCAAATTTCCCTGACGACTATTGAATTAAGCAAAACCCACTGTATTACACCCAGTTAACAAAAATATTACAATGAAGGATGGAATTACTGGGGGGTAAAATATATGCAGTCTAATTATCAAAGCCTTTATCCCTTTGATAAGGTTTGAAGAAGAATCAATAATGGTTTATTGTTCATTTTTTACACACTGCGGCTTATTTACGTCATTGCTTTCACTCTCAGAACTTCTACATGACAAGGGTCTATCACAATTCATGAAATAGATTTGTCTACTGGAATTTTTTCATGTTGTATACTTTAAGCTTTCATTATTAGCTATTAGGATTTTTTTAAGGACAGGGATTGTTTAAAGAGTTATTGATTCAGGAAGAAATTATTACAAAAGGATAAAGAAATGCAAATTTTGGTCAAGGTTTTTTCTGAAAAGAAATGGTATTTAATGTTTACAAAGCTGTGATAAAGTTTTGTTGTCATAGAAATATCAGCAGTGCATTATTTGATAGATCGT